AATATTTTGGCCGTGGAGCCTTCTTTAGATGTGAGCCTGATAATCCCTCACACCTGAGGAAGGCTCCACTGCCGAAACGTTTTCTTTCTTCTTTTTTTCACCATGGAATAAACCTATTACTTGTTCCTTTGCAGCCTATGCATGCTAACGCAGCTACCCACATGAACTATAACATTAAATTTAGGTGATTCTTATCTGCCAGGCTAGTTAGACTTTCAATGTTCCACAACAGACATCAGTACTTGTATATTAACCTCATCAGAGTTAATGTGTATGATATTTGCATAGAATCATGGAATATCAAATACATTGAAGTGGTGTATGTATCTGAATTCATCTTAAATTATATTAAATCCAAATTTGTTTAATTGCAGAAGGGAGACATGCGTTTCCAGGAAGAATTTTGAGGAGTTTTCACATTTCTTCAGTTCTCCTAGGCTTTAGTTTCTATTCTTGTAATTGTCCCTCTTTACCCCATTTTCTGTGTGAACTTCCCATTTTATATAGATTTTGCATTTGTTATCTATTGTACTTTGTAAGTGTTTATTTAACAATTTTACAATAATTGTAAAATCAAGATTTTTCTAAGTACCCAAGAATCCAGCAGTAAACATTTCTTCTTTAATATCAGTTAACCTTCAAGTCCACCTTTCAGGTAAACAGAACATTATTGTATTTGAACACAAGTAACATCTATACTGTACATGTGTACATGGCTATGATTTGCTATGGAGTCCTTTCAGTCCTATGCTGTGTGACAAGTTTCATTGTTTTATTCAGTAGTTTTTAGAAAATATAGCTATCCCTTTATTGTATAATTTTATTGTCACTAATAAACTTATTTATAAATTAAAATTATTTATACATTTACATACTGTACCTGTTTAGTTTAATTAGAAGTACTTTTAATGTTCTAGTTTTTTAGTGAATTACATTACATTTACGTTTGAAATATATTTGGCATTAATGATCGCCATCAAGAATGGATTTTAGTTAAGGAAGTCAAGTAATTGAGAATACCAAAACAGCCTTTTCACTTTTATCCTTTAAGCTTTATTTATATCGGGAATTGGGGGAATTTAAACAGCCTGAGGCAACCAAAGGACAAATGTCTTTATTAAATAGCATAAGCATTGAAGAGGCATCCAGTACTAGAAACACTCAAGATTAATAGTTCCTCTATCAATTGTACTCAAGGGAAAAACAAATATTATTCAGAAGCCATTGACAAAACTCTTCCCAACATATGCTTAAGCCAGAGGTAGTTTATTAATCTTGAAGCACTCAAAGTTAATAAATCCCCAGATACTGACACTATCTTAATAATTATACTCAAGGAAACTAGAAATATTGTTCACAATCCATTGGGAGGGGGTAGTGAGACCAAAAGAAAATTGTGTCTGGACCACATTCCCATTCTGTGCAGAATGAGCTGCTGCCCTCCGTCACTTTACCAGTTGCTGGAAGATAATTGGTTTTTAATTTTTTTGGAAGAACTCAGAGAGAAGCAAAGGTTTAAGAGTTCGTTTTGAATTTTTGATAAGGTACCTTAACTGCCCAGCATGATAGAGGACATTTTCAATAAGTCAGTTAACAGCTCAAAGAAGAGATCTGGTTTTTGTTCCCTTACACCACAAATAAATTGCACTATTACAACTTACAGCTGTGTTTGTGTGTGTCTATTTTCCTGGGAGTGCCTATTTTGAAGATCTCATTATGACACACCCAATGAGGTGTCATGACATTGACAGCTCTTCCAACAGTTGCTGATTAAGACTAGAAAATTGCTAATGTAGTGGCCATCCCCAAGAACAGTGACAAAACTGACTAGGTTATTATAGACCAGTTGTTTAAAACTTCTATTACACGTAAGATTATGAAAATAATTATAACTAGAGGATCAACTATACAGGTGTCACATCTTGGGAAATTGTCGATGAAGCACTCAATCTTCTTCATCGTTCTTACCTGTCTAACCTGTTAAATTTCTTTGACCAGCCAACAGCTATAAGACTAGCCTCGCCCAGGGCTGACATTCATTCTTTAACTTAAGGTGACTGATAAAATACTTTCTACTTCATGTTCTGTAAGGTAGTGCACAGTCTATCTCACATGTTCTAGGATCACATATTTTGAGACGTCTTATCAAAAAATAACTTTTCTTTACTTAATGTACAATAATACCATTATACTGTATGTTTAGAATTCTTAGATTAATTAGTTTTCCTTCCATCTTAAAGGAACTTCACTCACCATAGTTACCAGTACAAATGACAATGTTAGGTATAGTGTATTTGTGGAGATGTTTGACAGGTATTTATACCTGTCTTAACCTCAGGTTAAGATAAGACAAGATCACTTTATTGGCCATCTAAAATGTCTTGTATTAGGAATTTGTCTTTTTTTACATACCCCAACTTGCTCTCCGTGAGACACACAGACAGGGAGAGAAGCTTGGTGTCAGAGCACAGGGTTGGCTATTTATACGGCGCTCCTGGAGCAGTTGGGGTTGGGCCTTGCTCAGGGGCCCAAGGGAGTAGGATTCCTCTGCCGACTGTGGGATACGAATCGGCAACCTTCCAGCCACAGGCACAGATTCGTAGCCACAGAGCCACCTCACCTCCCCATCTTACAAACTCAAGAGATACCATATCTAGTAAGAATAACATTCCAATGTGAGAGGAGACGAGATCACTGTGCAAGTTATCAGACTGGAATTTCCAGAAAATGACAAGATAGGAGAGAGATAATTGTCATCTACTTCCCATCTTCATTTAGGGATTCCACATCCATGACCACAATCTTATTGTGCATCCAGCATCCAGAGACAAGAGCAGAGTAGATGACACAGTACTCACATTGTTAATTATGGTTTAGCAGTATCTTGACCAAAATCAATGGTCAAAAGTGTATTAGTTGATTTTTCCTCTCCTTTTAATACAATCCAACCACACTTCCTACCACACATAATCTCAAAATCTTACAAGCTAAATTGTAACTTCCTTAATGAACAAGTCTCATCAGGTCTAAGTCAGGAAATAGTTAACCAATGTACTTTACACTTCTGTTCTGATCACCACAGAGCTGCCATATCTGCCTAACTGTACACCAATGATAGCAAGAGCAAACACACAGACAACTCATGTTTGCTAATAACCGTCCTGTTCAACTCATGAAAGGACTCGGAAAATCATCGGGCAATTCAAAATGAATTTACTAAATGGTGTGATTTAATACCAATTGATGTTAAATGTACTGAAAGCAAAATAACTCATCACTGATTTTAATTGAAATTCAGCCCCCCTCCCATTTACTGTAGAGGCTGTCAATGATTACAAGTATTTGCTGATTTAGGGCAATATAAATGGTATGAGACACTACAAAAAAAGGATCTGGGAGATGTTTTTGTTGAGAGAGCTAATCTTCTTTAAGGTAACATTTTAACACTATAAATTATTTATTGAGTTTCATAGCATACACTCATCCCTGTTAGATTGGTAAAATCTGTTTTCAAATTGTAATCAAATAGAAAAAAAAATAATGGCATAATCATGAAGGTAACCATCCATCCATTTCATAACAGACTGCTTTATCCAATTGAGGGTTACAGGGGGAATCCATCCCAAAAAGTAATGGGCACAAGGCAGGGTACACTTTGGAAGGAACACTAATCCCTCACAGGGCAGGCATAAACACATGCACAGATCATACCTAGGGCCAGTCTTCCTTTTTGGACTGGTGAAGAAAACAGGAGCACTCAGAGGAAACCTATGCAAACAAAGGGAAAACAAACACCATGCAGATAGTATTCCCAATTCTGGAATTGAACCTAGAACTACAAGGCAGCAACATGTATGAATAATAAAATTATTTAACCAGAACCCTTTCCACTTCTATGTAGTCCCCATGCCTCCCCTTTATACCAAACCAGTGTAAATTGAACCCATGTGAGAATGTGACTCAGCCCGTCACCACCAATTATCCAATTAATGTACTAATTCATCACATGTGAATCTATTTACACCATAGTGACCTGAAGCTGAATCCACTTGACTAATTTACCATTGGCCTGCCACAACCACCTTAAACCCACCTCTTCCACTGCATTCTAGTATTTATTAATTTGATTCAGAGTAGAATTTATTCCTTTCTTAAAATTTTGTTCTCTCCTCTGAAAATATGAAACATTGCCCATTTACATGGTTGTTTGCCAAGAATCTAATTAAACAAAAAGGCTGTTTTACTCTTGGTTGGCCACTACTCAGCACATGTCCACAATATCAAAATACTGGATGCTATTCGATCAATAGGTTAGGCCAACCTAAATTAATTTCTCACTCTATCATGCTGCTCTCTACCCCTGTGCACCTCATAATTGGCACCTCATAATGCCAGTCCTTTTTTTACTTTTGTGTTGAAAATATGACAGATACAAGAAGGTCCCCTATCACTCATCCATTTGATATGTTCTTTTCTCAGGTTAAGATAAGATAAGATCACTATATTGGCCATATACAATTTCTTGTATTATTGATTTGTTTTTTCCCATACCACAACCTGCTCTCCATGAGACACAGACAGGGAGAGAAACTTGGGGTCAGAGCGCAGGGTCAGCCATTTATACGGTGCCCCTGGAGCACTTGGGGTTAAGGGCCTTGCTCAGGGGCCCAACGGAGTAGGATTCCTCTGCTGGCTGCAGGATACAAACCAGAAACCTTCCAGCCACAGATCCTTAGCCACAGAGCATGACTGCGAGACCTGTTCCCTTTACTGTAAGTTTGAAACCTCATGTTGAACAGCACCCAGTCTATAAATAGCCCTATGCCCATCAATATTAACCTTACCAAACTTTAAGTATGCATTTCTTATGATTTTTTTTTTACTGCAGTGGTACAAATGAGCCCCATATGCACTGTTTCACCAGTGCATGAAAAAGAAAACAACACACGTGTCTGCATTTTATTCAGTTTATTTGAACAAAATATTTAGCAATATCTTGGGTATGTATATATACAACAAATATATATACACATGTAATGTGTATGTATATATAGCTTGTAGAAGGAGAAAATATTAGATATGTAATTAATTTTCAGACACATTATATAAATCCTGATATAGAAAGCACAAAAAATAAGGGTTTATCATTGAAAAGTACTCACTTTCATGACAAAAAAGATTTTCATAAAAACTATTTCTTTACATTTTTGCAGTTTTCAGCAGGTATAAAATATACCTGAAATAACCTTTTAGTTAAAGGCATGTATTTTTTAATGTCCTGTTACACAATCTGGAAGGAAAACCATCAAGATTTATTTTAGAACAAATAAAATAATAGCCTGCACCTATGCTGTTCTGTGGTTTTCTGTACAAATTGTCAGCACATGGTTAAGCAAAGTTCTCAGATGACATAAACATCTGTTTTTTCTCCCAGAAGCCAGTATGTTCTCATTTTGCCTTTGCCCTGAAAAACAAAAAACAGGATGAACTGAGCACATTGATTATAAATGATATATTCTTATGTGTGGACACTTATCTTAGACCCAGAGAGAATTAAAAACACATTTCAAAAAGGGCATATGTTTAAGGGACTTGTGTCACATCACATTAAATATTTATGAAGAGAGCTCATCATTTATTTTTTTGTGTTACATGAATTCTAAATGAAATGTAATTAAAAAAAAATATGGTGTGAAACATGAAATTCCAGCAGCAGTTTACAATCTAATATAAATAAAAAATAACAATAACAATAGTCTCTCAGAAATGAAAGCTTTGACCCCTGTGACACCCAACCTGGTGCCAATTGAAAATTACCCACCAAGTACTTGATTTAGGGTGTCAGTATTTTGTTTACTAAAGGAAAAAATATGATTTTGTAAAAATAATTTTTCAATCAAAAATTCATCCTTCAAAGTGCAATATTAATTTTTGCAAATCAATGGAATCTTTTTCAGAGAAACAAGGATTAAATTGGCATTCATCAATAGACTGAACTATGTTTTATCCAGATTAGCAGGTAAAAGCTGCATGGAAATGGGTGAGGTGTTTTCGAACAGTATGTTTTTAAGCATATATCCAGTTTTATATGTCTGTTTATTTGATGACAACGAAAACTTCTGTATGTATAATGTAGGTGTTTTGTAGGTATTTTAACATATTCTATCTAAAGAAGATATGCAAAGGAACAAGAAATAGGTTTATTTCATTCTGAAAAGAGAAGAAACATGTTTCAGCCGTGGAGTCTACTTCAGGTGATTGGCCACTCTGTCCCCTGTTCCCCCCTCCTGCTCCTCCCCTCTCCCAGCTTTTGTTCTCCCACTACATTACCTTTGCTTACTGCGCTGTCTTTCTCAAACCTGTAGAAGGCTCCACAGCCGAAACGTTGTGTTTTCTTTCTTTTCTTTTCAGCATGGAATAAACCTATTACTTTTGTGTTGTTGCCTAAAAGCCTATATTTTTTGTGTTATTGTGGGAAAAAAATATTTCAGAGCTTTTAGAAATGAACTTTGCAATTTTTATTTTAGTTCTTATTTTTCCACCCCTCAAAATATTATACCAGTCTTTTAATCTAAAGGGATAGCGCTAATCTGCCTATTTTAACCTTTTTAATCATACAAAGCATTTTAAAAGCAATTTAAAATATGCTCTTCTGTCTATTTGAGCCATTAACACACTCATAATGCATTAAGACCTGCTAATTAAGTTTTTCAGAAAATGCAAAAGCTTGATACCCCCTACTTTTTGCAAAGGCTAAAACACAGCAGTTTCACTCTCACTAAACTAAGTGATTTTCAGCAATTAAATCTTAAATTTTACAATTTATCTATGTGCACAAAACAAATAAGCTCTCCAACATAAATTCAGACAAAATCAGTGTCAAATGTAAGTTAAAACAATCTACTTAAAAAGGTGGGTATTCTGTAAGTACGCTGGGCAAACGTTCCGAGGTCAAATTCTTCTAGCACGGCGGTACCTTTAAAGCGGAGACGAAGGCACCGAAATATTTTGGCGCGCCTTCTCTTTAAAGCCCTGGCCAAATATGAAGTCAGTACGTACAGTTATAATTCAAACAGAATTAAAAACTACACATCCCAGTTACCATGGTGGTGCTTGTGATCATTGCGTTTAACCAACGAAACAGGG